TTTAGGCTCGAAATACATTTCCAGTAAAAATGTGATTTCTCTTAACGAAAATCTATCGGCGCTGGGTTATATGATACATCAGTGGATTACTCAAGCAATAAGCTACGAGAATACGTCAATACAAAATACAATATCGAGTGATAGAACTTTGAAAATAACAAAAATTAGTAAGGCTAGAAAAACATTTCTCGTAAAAATATGATTTTTCTTTAAGAAAAATTAACGGCGTTGGGTTTTATCGTACATTGATGGAATCCTAACCCAATATGCTATAAGAATCAGTTAATCAAAAGTACATTATCGAGTGCTAGAATGTTAAAAATATCAAAAATCTTTTAGGCTCGAAATACATTTCCAGTAAAAATGTGATTTCTCTTAACGAAAAACTATCGGCGCTGGGTTATATGATACATCAGTGGATTACTCAAGCAATAAGCTACGAGAATACGTCAATATAAAATACAATATCGAGTGCTAGAACTTTTAAAATAACAAAAATTAGTAAGGCTAGAAAAACATTTCTCGTAAAAATATTTTTTTTCTTTAAGAAAAATTAACGGCGCTGGGTTTTATCGTACATAGATGGAATCCTCAACCAATACGTTATAGGAATCAGTTAATCAAAAGTACATTATCGAGTGCTAGAATGTTAAAAATATCAAAAATCTTTTAGGCTCGAAATACATTTCCAGTAAAAATTTGATTTCTCTTAACGAAAATCTATCGGCGCTGGGTTATATGATACATCAGTGGATTACTCAAGCAATAAGCTACGAGAATACGTCAATACAAAATACAATATCGAGTGATAGAACTTTGAAAATAACAAAAATTAGTAAGGCTAGAAAAACATTTCTCGTAAAAATATGATTTTTCTTTAAGAAAAATTAACGGCGTTGGGTTTTATCGTACATTGATGGAATCCTAACCCAATATGCTATAAGAATCAGTTAATCAAAAGTACATTATCGAGTGCTAGAATGTTAAAAATATCAAAAATCTTTTAGGCTCGAAATACATTTCCAGTAAAAATGTGATTTCTCTTAACGAAAAACTATCGGCGCTGGGTTATATGATACATCAGTGGATTACTCAAGCAATAAGCTACGAGAATACGTCAATATAAAATACAATATCGAGTGCTAGAACTTTTAAAATAACAAAAATTAGTAAGGCTAGAAAAACATTTCTCGTAAAAATATTTTTTTTCTTTAAGAAAAATTAACGGCGCTGGGTTTTATCGTACATAGATGGAATCCTCAACCAATACGTTATAGGAATCAGTTAATCAAAAGTACATTATCGAGTGCTAGAACGTTAAAAATATCAAAAAACATTCAGGCTCCAGAGACATTTCCAATAAAAGTGTGTATTCTTCTAACGAAAAACTATCAGCGCTGGGTTATAGGATATATCAGTGAATTACTCAAGCAATAGGCTACGAGAATACGTCAATATAAAATGTCTCTCGAGCCTAAATGTTTTTTAAAATTTTCAACGTTCTAGCACTCGATAATGTACTTTTGATTAACTGATTCTTACAGCATATTGGTTGAGGATTCCATCTATGTACGATAAAACCCAGCGCCGTTAATTTTTCTTAAAGAAAAATCATATTTTTACGAGAAATATATTTCTAGCCTTACTAATTTTTGTTATTTTCAAAGTTCTAGCACTCGATATTGTATTTTATATTGACGTATTCTCGTAGCCTATTGCTTGGGTAATCCACTGATATATCATATAACCCAGCGCCGATAATTTTTCGTTAAGAGAAATCACATTTTTATTGGAAATGTATTTCGAGCCTAAAAGTTTTTTGATATTTTCAACGTTCTAGCACTCGATAATGTACTTTTGATTAACTGATTCTTACAGCATATTGGTTGAGGATTCCATCGATGTACGATAAAACCCAGCGCCGTTAATTTTTCTTAAAGAAAAATCATATTTTTACGAGAAATATTTCTCTAGCCTTACTAATTTTTGTTATTTTCAAAGTTCTAGCACTTGATATTGTATTTTATATTGATGTATTCTCGTAGCCTATTGCTTGAGTAATCCACTGATGTATCATATAACCCAGCGCCGATAGTTTTTCGTTAAGAGAAATCACATTTTTACTGGAAATGTATTTGGAGCCTGAAAGTTTTTTGATATTTTCAACTTTCTAGCACTCGATAATGTACTTTTGATTAACTAATTCTTATAGCATATTGTTTGAGGATTCAATCTATGTTCGATAAAACCCAGCGCCGTTAATTTTTCATTAAAAAAACAATATGTTTTTTGTGTTAGGTATTACTGTAGCATACAAATATAATAATTACAACAATCCAGCACTCGATATTGTTTTTTTGATTGATGTGTTCTTGTACCTTATTACTTGAAGAATCTATTTATGTATGATTTAATCCAGCGCCGATCATTTTTCGTTAAGAAAAATTTGAATATATATTTAAAGTTTTTTTTAAAGTACCTATATTCACATCATTTTTACTAATATTTTTTTCCCATTATATTTGTTATTATTACTAATATTATTATAATAAGACAAATTAAGTAGTATTACTGCTTTATTTTGTGAAATCTAACTTGTACGTATTTTCTCACACAGGCTGCTAACTCTGGCTGCTAGTTTCAGCTTCATGTGCAGGGGCCGCCGGAGGCTAATCGCCGAAGGCAGAAAATTTTGGGTTTGCCACGCCCAATTTTTACTCAGGAGCCGATAAAATCGTTAAAAAATTACGCCTTCGTCACCTTCTTGTCTCTTAAATGGGAATTTTTATCCAAAAGTCGTCAAAAAAACACGCCTTTTTTTTCTCAAAATTCCCCCCCCCCCCCCCCGCTCGCTCTGGTCCTGAGCTCACCGAAAAAGACCAGATATTGTTCGGTTCAATGAAGCACCACAGTTGCTGGACAGAGTCTATGAATGGTTGACTGTCCTGAATGTCCTTCTCAATGCAATGCAGGACATCTGGTAGTCTGGTCACTTTATATACCTATGTATAATGTCAATTATTTTTAGCCTATTACCAGAAAAAAATAAGGTATTTAATTAACTAGGCAAGGAATAATTAACATATTTCTTTTATTAATTTAAAAACTACACAAACAAAACAAAAAGTACATACAGCGAAACAGGCACAAGGAGTCAAACAAAAAATAAATTATTATAATTATTATAAAGTAACAAAAACAAATACTTCTTGAAAAACAAAAAAAAAGTCAAACAATATATTATAATAAAGACACAAAAAGTAAAAGAAAAAAGCCAAGCTAAAGTAAGTATAACCGTCTAACTTTTTGCTTTCAAATAAAATTAAAGGCCAATATCAATTTTTCTTGGTTTAGCTGCATTTCGTTAAGTACTTCCTCGGCTTTAATTGATATTTCTGGATACACATATAAAAGAGATAAGCCATTTAGTCTGTCTTCACTTGTTGTATTTCGTAAGTAAATCTTTAACAATTTAAGTGTCGAAAATTTTCTTTCGGGGGTTGCCGTGCTTACAGGTAAAGTACAAAAAATTTTAAAGAGTACAAATATATTAGGAAATATATCCTGATCACACATTACTAGGGCATCGAGAGCGGAGCTTGGATATTTTTCTGTTACACAAGTTTCAACCTTTCTAGCCCGAATTTAGCAGAAACTATAGTAAATGAATAATTTTCTAAATCATTTTTATAAAAGTTTACCAAATACTTAAGACTTTGGAGTTCATTGTCAAGTTTTTTATTTGGTGACGGTACAGGACAGCTAAATGAGTGTAGTATTTCTTTATGTTAAACAAACCTCTCTTCTAATGGCAGTATGACATAATCTAAAAGCGGAACAAAGATTGATAGTCTGAAATATTCTTCAGCAGTATTAGTTTCAAAATTTGCCCTATTCTTTTGTCTGCTAGTTATGCGTGGTTTTGTTATTTCTTATACAAATAATTTGTTTATATTTTTGTTTGTCTCTGCAAAAATAGTTGTAAAACTACTATCTGCTTTATGACGTAAATTTTTAAGTTCCTTTAAACAACTTTCAGCTAGTGATATTGCTTTTCCTAAATCAATATTAACTGATTGCAGCAATTTCGATAAGGGAGTGGTAAATGCAAAAACATTTTTAAATACAAAAAGAGCAATGAGAAATTCTGATGTACTTAAAGTATTTAGTAACAACTTGCTACTAGTAGACGTTTCTTTGTCTGGCCACTCAGCTATTTCCTCTAACGCCAATACTAGAGGGTTTAAAAGCTCTCTCATTACACTTACCGAATCCTGTCTTTGAACCCATCTAGTAGGACAAAGTTGTTTTAATCTGTCTCGTCTTGACCTTTCATTATCCAGCATTTCAGATACTTTGTTAGGTAAAACGTTTTGACGTTTGGGCGTATTAAAAAAAATGTAAGCGTTTTCAATAACACCCATGCAATTTCGTACAGCCTGGACAGAACACACATCAGATATAGCAAGGTTAAGGGAATGTGAGACGCAATGAACATATAAAGCTGTAGGATATTCTTTCCTTATAATAGTCTGTACCCCAGAAAACTGACCACTCATTGCCGCTGCCCCATCGTAGCCCTGGCCTTTAAGAGTATTTAAATCTAAACCCCACTTTGTTAAATTTTCGGTAATTGTTTTCGCTGAATTATGCCCAGTAGTTGAAGTTACCGGAATAAATTAAAGAAATTACTCCTTAATGGATGAATTATTGCATACGTAACGAACGCAAAGAACAAACTGTTCTATTTTGGCAATATATGTTTTTTCAAAATTTCATCACCCGCATCAATTCGAAATTTTAAGAAAGCCCGAAATTTACCTTCACCAGGCGTGCAAGACAATGTTTCCAAGTTTAGGGGTCCAGAATCTCGATGCTTCCTTAATGGAAGACCATTTTGCCCTCAAAATATAATAGTTTTGTGCCTGTTTTTCGCGACTAGTAAACAATAACTTTTCTATTGACATTAGCTTATTTTCTATCATTTGTTTTCGGTTAACCTAATCTAAAACTGACCTCTTATGATATTCAGTCTTTTCATGAAGTCTTAGCTTTTCAGCGCATTTCTTCCATTTACGGTAAGGTTCAGTACAAAGCATACCTACTTGTTGACTACTAGTATGGCCGACTTCTATTTTGCAAAAAAAAGCGCAAAATTTACAGTAAACGCCATCTTCTTTTAAAGAGTATACTAGCCACTTATACTGTTCTAAATATGCTCTATTAAATTTTCTTGTAAATTTACCTTCTTTCTTTGCTGGAAAATTGAAATTTAGTGGCGGAGTCCAAATTTCGTTCATTATACTTATATACTGTTCTTCTGTTAACTTATTTGTTAAAATATTGCTAACATCATTAACAGGAAAATTTTGCTGTGTTTCTGAGGGTGTTCTTATCGCTGTTGAAGAAGTAGGGGGTTCTTTCAAATTTTCATTGATATTTGATGAGGCATCATCAGCTGCAGTAGACGTACAAGGCAAATCATTATTTTCATCACCTTATTTAATTTTTTTAATAAAGTTCAATAAATTGCTTTGCACTCCCGCCCGTTTCAATTTGCCAAAGCAAAAACCTCGTATTATGGCAACTGGCACAAAACAAAAATATGGCTACGAATAATGCGCCCGCGAGTGTCCATAACACAATATCTCTGGGCGGCGGTCTGTTGCAAACTAAAGGGCGAGACGGCGAGTGCGAGTACGCACTCGCACTGTAAGCAGTACCCATGATCCATGATACTATTATTACTCGAGAAGATAAACCCACGCGCATGCGATCAGCACATCTCTCTCTCGCGCCTGACGTCACTGGTAGACTACCCGACTCAGCAACAGCCAGTTCTATATGGCGCAAAGCGGTTTAGCATGTATTACTGATTATTTAATTTTGTTTCTTTGATTTGTTGTGTTTTAGAAGTAAACGTGCGTAAAACTTTTCTGTTGCTGTTTAACTTTTAAGACGATTTATTACTTGTTTATCCAAACATTTTCAATTTTTACTCCTCCTTTTTTAAATTCATCCGTAATTTTTATAAAAATATTAAATTGTCTATAATTGTCTATAATTTAGAAGCTCTAAAATAAGATTAACTCGAATTTTTTTTTCAAATATTTTTGTAGAATTTCTACTCCCTCCCCTTTTTACCCCTACTTGTAATTTTTTTATTAAATCACTAAACGAATTTTAAAATTAAAATAGTACGAGACAACTCGATTTTTTAAATATTTTAAATTTTTACCCCTCCCCTTTTTACTCTTTTTCTAATTATCTATTAAAATATTAAACGGATTATAAAATCAAAATGTCCATAGCCAAAAACCTATAAAACGACATATTACTCGATTTTTTACGAAAAATTGCAATTTTTTACCATTTACCATTTCACCCCCCCTCCCCTTTACCAATTTTACTTAAAAATATTCCAGTCCGACCACTAATGGAATAACATTTATCTATAGCACAATTCCTTTAAAAGTTATGGTGAATACCGATTGACAGAAATTTTCTTTTTTGCTTATAATACATTTTTTACACGTTTTGGGACATTTTAAGATGATTAGACAAGCCAAAAAATATTTAATTTAATAATATATCAATATTATAAAAATAATATATCAATATTATAATAAATAAACATAAAATATTGATTAAAACCGATCTAGCGTAATGCTTTTCCATGCCCACGAGCTGGATTGTTGCCATCGGGTGACGTCATGCGCAAACGTGGTCTAAATTGGATCGTCAAGTGGGCTTATCTTCTCGAGTAATAGTATCATGAGCAGTACCAGTATGCGAGTCGCGAATACAACGCTGCGAGATGAGACTGCTCCTCAGACGGCAACGAAACACTTGATGAGTAGGAATGTAATGAGATATCGATGTAATACTAAAATTACTAAAAATACTTTAATTATATATTATTAATAAATTATTGTATTTTTTCATGATAAAATAAAACATACTTTTTTCTTGGTTTTCTAGGGGGGACAATTTTTCATGACAAAATAAAAAAAATTCCTGGCTTTTCTGGGGGGGCCAATAGCCCCCTTTGCCCTACCCCTAGGATATTTGAGGATATGATCGAAAGATGTCCCCTTTAAAATAAAAATCGACCTCTTTTTGCATTTTCTCCAAAAAAATGTGTCTTCAAGATTTGCGATATGTTTCGTTTTCGGTGCCTCACCCTGTATAAATATCTGCAGTGATGGCTTTTTCTTTAACATGTCCTATATATGGCCGTGATGCACCTGTCAGAGTAAAAGCAAACCACACAACAATTTTATCTTTAAATGTAGCTTTTCTTTTAAATTTTACATTATCCGTAGCTGCATTGAAATCCTCGGTATAGAATCCACCATTCCCCTTTAATACAGAGTTACAAAACGTAAAATACGTTTAATCGTCCAAAACGATGATTCGTTGTTTTCAAAGTGTTGGAGCCTTAGTGTTCGACAACATCGTGCAATTCGTTGCAATTGCACAGCTGTGTATTTTGGGCGTTTCCTTCTTTTTCGAAATTATATTCTACTTCTCTTAATTTCCCGATATGCAGTCGTGTGTAAAAATCCATACCGTCTTCCCAATCTTCATGTATATGCAGAACATTTTCTTTTGCACTTTCTCTCAGTTCATCTGCTCTGACCACAGTCAAACGTGGAGGCCACTTTTTAGGTTAATACTTGCACGAGAGATATTAGGTCCTTGAAATATGTTTATAATATCCGCATTTCGCATTTGGCCAACTAAATTATATGTTTCTTCGTATTTCAATTCTGTACGCCATGTCACAAAAGTTTTTGGATAACAATTGTCAATATTTTGTATTATAACAAGTCCCGGCAATGGTAAGTAGATTAAATCTTTTCAAAGTGTTAAAAATTAGTTACGAAATGTGTCTCAAAGCTTATTATTATTTTTAAAGAAATATTGTTTGTAATAATTTTGTAATTTTAAAGTTATTTTTAAGTATTAAAATGAAATAATATTGTTGGCATTATGTACAATGGGCCATGTTCACATGTGAGATATGCTGTTTTAAAAATTATACTGTAATAGTTAGTCGCTATACAACTTATTCTAAATAATCAGTTTGTTAAAAAAGCCAAAAGTTTTTAAATTAAAACTAATTTAAATTTAAAATTTGAAATATGTACGTCATCAGGAATAGAACGACACATAAAATGTTGAAGTGAACGCACATCTTAGTGACACTTAAAATTGACACCACCTAGACCACCTAACCTAACATTCGTTGTTTTTTCTATTCTCTATTCTCGATTTATTTCTTTTGTCTTTGTTAAATACATCTTATAGTAAAAACATTTATCTCACGTCATTAGGGTTGTCTAACAGTAACAGTTTATCAAAAATAAACATTTTACCCTTTACCCTTTACCCTTTACCCTTTACCCTTTACCCTTTACCCTTTACCCTTTACCCTTTACCCTTTACCCTTTACCCTTTACCCTTTACCCTTTACCCTTTACCCTTTACCCTTTACCCTTTACCCTTTACCCTTTACCCTTTACCCTTTACCCTTTACCCTTTACCCTTTACCCTTTACCCTTTACCCTTTACCCTTTACCCTTTACCCTTTACCCTTTACCCTTTACCCTTTACCCTTTACCCTTTACCCTTTACCCTTTACCCTTTACCCTTTACCCTTTACCCTTTACCCTTTACCCTTTACCCTTTACCCTTTACCCTTTACCCTTTACCCTTTACCCTTTACCCTTTACCCTTTACCCTTTACCCTTTACCCTTTACCCTTTACCCTTTACCCTTTACCCTTTACCCTTTACCCTTTACCCTTTACCCTTTACCCTTTACCCTTTACCCTTTACCCTTTACCCTTTACCCTTTACCCTTTACCCTTTACCCTTTACCCTTTACCCTTTACCCTTTACCCTTTACCCTTTACCCTTTACCCTTTACCCTTTACCCTTTACCCTTTACCCTTTACCCTTTACCCTTTACCCTTTACCCTTTACCCTTTACCCTTTACCCTTTACCCTTTACCCTTTACCCTTTACCCTTTACCCTTTACCCTTTACCCTTTACCCTTTACCCTTTACCCTTTACCCTTTACCCTTTACCCTTTACCCTTTACCCTTTACCCTTTACCCTTTACCCTTTACCCTTTACCCTTTACCCTTTACCCTTTACCCTTTACCCTTTACCCTTTACCCTTTACCCTTTACCCTTTACCCTTTACCCTTTACCCTTTACCCTTTACCCTTTACCCTTTACCCTTTACCCTTTACCCTTTACCCTTTACCCTTTACCCTTTACCCTTTACCCTTTACCCTTTACCCTTTACCCTTTACCCTTTACCCTTTACCCTTTACCCTTTACCCTTTACCCTTTACCCTTTACCCTTTACCCTTTACCCTTTACCCTTTACCCTTTACCCTTTACCCTTTACCCTTTACCCTTTACCCTTTACCCTTTACCCTTTACCCTTTACCCTTTACCCTTTACCCTTTACCCTTTACCCTTTACCCTTTACCCTTTACCCTTTACCCTTTACCCTTTACCCTTTACCCTTTACCCTTTACCCTTTACCCTTTACCCTTTACCCTTTACCCTTTACCCTTTACCCTTTACCCTTTACCCTTTACCCTTTACCCTTTACCCTTTACCCTTTACCCTTTACCCTTTACCCTTTACCCTTTACCCTTTACCCTTTACCCTTTACCCTTTACCCTTTACCCTTTACCCTTTACCCTTTACCCTTTACCCTTTACCCTTTACCCTTTACCCTTTACCCTTTACCCTTTACCCTTTACCCTTTACCCTTTACCCTTTACCCTTTACCCTTTACCCTTTACCCTTTACCCTTTACCCTTTACCCTTTACCCTTTACCCTTTACCCTTTACCCTTTACCCTTTACCCTTTACCCTTTACCCTTTACCCTTTACCCTTTACCCTTTACCCTTTACCCTTTACCCTTTACCCTTTACCCTTTACCCTTTACCCTTTACCCTTTACCCTTTACCCTTTACCCTTTACCCTTTACCCTTTACCCTTTACCCTTTACCCTTTACCCTTTACCCTTTACCCTTTACCCTTTACCCTTTACCCTTTACCCTTTACCCTTTACCCTTTACCCTTTACCCTTTACCCTTTACCCTTTACCCTTTACCCTTTACCCTTTACCCTTTACCCTTTACCCTTTACCCTTTACCCTTTACCCTTTACCCTTTACCCTTTACCCTTTACCCTTTACCCTTTACCCTTTACCCTTTACCCTTTACCCTTTACCCTTTACCCTTTACCCTTTACCCTTTACCCTTTACCCTTTACCCTTTACCCTTTACCCTTTACCCTTTACCCTTTACCCTTTACCCTTTACCCTTTACCCTTTACCCTTTACCCTTTACCCTTTACCCTTTACCCTTTACCCTTTACCCTTTACCCTTTACCCTTTACCCTTTACCCTTTACCCTTTACCCTTTACCCTTTACCCTTTACCCTTTACCCTTTACCCTTTACCC